CCAGCCCCGCATCTCACCCACCTGGGGGGGTGACCCCTGAGCCCCAGGGTAGGGTGTCACTGTGAGCCCCCCAATGTCACTGTCACCCCCCCATGTGACTGTGACCCCCCAGTGTCACTGTCACCCCCCTCATGTGACTATGACCCCTCCCAGGGCCCCCAGCCCCGCATCTCACCCACCTGGGGGGGTGACACCAGGCCCCAGGGTGGGGTGTCACCATGACTCCCCCAATGTCACTATCACCCCCCCATGTGACCGTGACCCCCTCAGGACCCCCAGCCCCCCATCTCACCCACCTGGGGGGGTGACGCCGGGCCCCAGCGCGGTGACCACGGGCGTGGGCACCGAGGGGGGCGGGGGGGCGTCGGCGAAGAGCTGGTGGGGGCGGTCGGCCTGCGACAGCGGGTTCTGCGCCGCCAGCAGCCGCTCGGCGGCCGAGCCGTGCCGCTCGCCCTTGGAGTCCTTCTTGAAGGCGTAGGACACGGTGATGGGCCGGTTGCACAGGTACTGCCCGTTCATGGCCTCGATGGCCGCGTCCGACGCGTCGAAGCTGGCGAAGTTGATGAAGGCGTAGCCCTTGGAGTTGCCCGTGTCGGGGTCCCGCATGATCTTGGGGGTCTGCAGGATGACCCCGAAGGCGCTGAAGGTGTCGTAGAGCAGCTTTTCGTCGATCTCGGGGTCCAGGTTGCCGATGAAGATGTTGGCGCCCACGTCCAGGTTCTTGTTGTGGGCCGAGGCCTTGTTCACTCGGATGGGTTTCCCGTAGAGCTTGATCATGTTCATGATCTTGATGGCGTAGTCGGCGTCCTCCTCGCTGAGGAACTCCACGAACCCGTACCCTGGGGGACCCCAAAGGGCTCAGGGGCACCCCAGGGGGCTCGGGGGGAACCCAATGGGTCTTCAGGAGAGGGGAGACCACCACACCCCCCACTTGATCTAAACCTCAATTGATTCAAAACCCCATTTAATTATGGATTGGAACCCCGTTGATTTGGCCCCACCTGACATTTTATTCAATCCCTACTTGATCTAAACCCTGGGCCCCAAACACCCCCTGAGGGATGGAAGATGATCCCTCACCTTCCCCACCCCAATTCCACCCCTGGTTCTGCCTCCTGCTCAGGTCTGGGGGTCCCAGCCCCTCACCCTGCTGCTGGCCCGTGTCCCCCCGCCCCCGGTTCTGCCCCCCCTTGGGATTTGCAGGGTCCCCATTGGGATTTGGGGGGGTCTCTCACCCTGATGCTGGCCCGTGACCCGGTCCTTGGGCATGTGCGTGTTGACCACGGGCCCGGCCTGCAGGAAGAGCTCCCAGAGCAGGGGCTCGCTGACCTTCTCGTCCAGGCCTCCCACGTACACCGTGGCATCTGTGGGAATGCAGGTCAGAGCCGGAAAACCTCGGGATAACGGGGGGCTCGGGGCTGGGACCCCTCAAGTCAAAGCCCTCCCAAACCTTCACCAGATCCCCCCTAATCCGCCCTTATCCAGGCGGCCCCTCCAGCCCCCCCTTTTCCCTCGGGACACCAGACCACCCCCCCATGTCCCCAGAGCCCGCCGGTGCCCTTCCTTCCACGTCCCCAGGGTCCTCCCGGTGCCTCCCCCGATGCTCCCAGTGCCCCCCATTGCCCCCCGTCCCCCTCCCCTTCCCACCCTGGTTCCTCTCCGAGATCGGCCCCGCCGCCATCTTGTCCCGCTCCCGCGCGCGCGGCGACGCACGCCCGTGACGTCACCGCGTCGCCCCCGGGGAGGCGGGCCGGAAGTGGCGTCCGGCGGGGAAGGCGCGGCGGCCATCTTGGGTGTGGGCGGGAGGGGCGGCCGGGCGGCAGCGCCCTTCCCGTCTGTCGCGATATCGCCCGCGACAGGCGACGGCAGCGCCCGCGCGGTCGGGAGAGAGCGCCCTCGGTGCCCGGGCTTGCTGAGTGCCGTGGGTCCCAGTGCCGTGGGGAGGATGCCAGTGCCAGGAGATCCCAGTGCCAGGGGATCCATCCCAGTGCCGGGGCATCCAGTGCTGGAGGATCCCAGTTCCAGGGGATCCCAGTGCCAGGAGATCCCAGTGCCAAGAGATCCCAGTTCCAGGAGATCCCAGTGCCAAGAGATCCCAGTTCCAGGGGATCCCAGTTCCAAGGGATCCCAGGGCTGAGGGTCCCAGTTCTGGGATCCCGCAGCATCCCCATCCCATTCCTATTGCATCCCATTCCTTTCCCATCCCATTCCCATCCCCATTCCCAGTCCCATCCCGCCTCCTCCAATCCCTTCGGCTCCGATCCCATCTCATCCCGGAGCTCCTCAGGCCTCGTGGAGGCAGCACAGGTTTAATGGAAAGCCGGGTCCCCACTCTGCCCTTCCTGGGACCCCCAGAACGCCCGGAGAGGAGCTGGGGGCACCAGGCGGTTCCAGGAGACCCCAAATCCCAAGGGATCCTGGCGGGATCCCGGAGCTGTGCCGGGTCAGGTGCTCTCCGGGGGCTCAGCGGGGTCTCCACGTGTTCCAGGTGCGGAGCCGGTCCTGGAGCAGCTCCAACTCCTCGACCAGGCCGGACCAAGATGGGGCAAAGCGCCCTCGCTGCGGAGAGACAGTGTGGATACGGGACAGGGACACGGGAGTGGGACAGAGACACAGGACACGGGAATGGAACAGGGACAGGGACACGGGA